ACCTTCAGGCCTCTAAGCGAAGGCAGGGAGTACAGGCACACCCAGCAGGCTGCTTGGGCAAAAACCAGGGGGGTTTAGCTAAACTGTTGACAGATTTAACGTGCGAGCCTCTGAGCACATTAGACGGGGGAAGGGGAGGAATTTTCCCAAGGTCTGCAGCTTGCGCAGCTAGCTTAGACACAAACTGTGCCCAGGAGCCAGCCTAGTGCAGACAATCAGGGCAGGAAGAACAGGGGACAAAAACAAAAAAGTAAAAGGTAATAAAGGAACGTATAAGCCTTTGGGTAAAGACCTCGGATCAAAATGAGTGGGGAACTGCAGTGCAATTGCAAGAAAAAAAGAAGATAGGCCTGTGAATAATATATTTGGCTTTTATTTAAAGCCTTTCTTCCTAAGACCTCTAAAGCGTTTCTATCACCTTACTTAATCCTCAGACATCACACGATGATGATGATAATGCTGACGTGCTTTTTTTTAGTGCCTGCTACATGCCAAGCAGTGGGCTAAGCTCTTCACATGTTTAATTTAATCCTCACAACCACCCTGTAAGATGGGTATTGTGATATTCTAGTTTTTCTATTCTAGTTTTTTTGTTTTTTTGTTTTGTTTTGGTTTTCTGTCTTTTTGGTGGTACACGGGCCTCTCACTGTTGTGGCCTCTCCCGTTGTGGAGCATAGGCTCTGGACGCGCATGCTCATCGGCCATGGCTCACGGGCCCAGCCGCCCTGCGGCACATGGGATCTTCCCGGACCGGGGCACGAACCCGCGTCCCCTGCATCGGCAGGCGGACTCCCAACCACTGCGCCACCAGGGAAGCCCCTCTATTCTAGTTTTTATGAGGACATTGAGATTCAGAGAGGTTAAGCAGGTTGCCCAAGGTTACACAGCTAGTAAGTAGCAGAACTAGGGCTGGAATCCATGATGGTCTGACCCAAAAGCCTGTGGATTTAACCATTTTAATACACAGAGAAGCTGAGGCAGTGAGGAGGTTACTTGCCCGAGTCAATATAGCAGAGTCAGGCCCAGAGGCCAGATTTCCTGGCCCCAATCCCAGGATTCTTTCGGAAGGCAAAACTGACCCTCTCCCTGTCAATTCACTGTTTCCAAGCCCAAGAAGTATGGGCCCTCCAATGGGCTCCCTGGTGTCTAATTAAATGAAAATGAAAAAGAACAAAGTAGGTGTTTGTTGCAAACTTAAAAATCAGAGGAAGAAATGAAGCCTTTGAGGAACCAACTAACAAAAGTACAAAGAACTGAAAGTGATAAGAACATACAAGATGAGAATTCAAAATGTCCTTGTAGGCCTGAGGAGTCAGTAAGTAGTAGCGCAGTGAAGTCCAGGAAAGGAACATGCAGAGGGAAGAGGAATACACCGGAGACTATTTAGGAACCTGTGCAACTGGACGTCCCCGTACCATCAGAGTGCCTCATTCATTCAGGGCTGCCTGCAGAGCAGCAGTGGGTGGAAGGGGAAAGCTAGAGTGCCAGCGGCCTGAACCTGAGACCCTGTCACATTTTTTAGCCTCTGTGCCTCACTCTCCTTCTCTTTAAAATGGGATCGTTGTGCCAACATAGGTTTTTCTGAGGATTAAAGTTGATAACATGTGAAGCACTTAGAACAGTGCCCAGCACATAGTAAGTATTCGATACATGTTAGGAATTACTGCTACTACTTATACTGAGAGGTGAACAACAGGAGACTTTAAAAGATGGTGTCGTGAGGGAAGGGCTGAAGCGTGGAAGAAATGGATGTTCTCAGGAAAGGATGAGTGATTATCTGAGGCTGGAAGCTGGGGTGGCTGGTGGCATCTGAGGCTGGAAAGACAGGCTGAGCGAGTTTGGGAAGGGTCTTAATGGGCCATTCTGGGGAGTCTGGGGTCTAACTCAAGTTTGAGAAAGCTCTTAGGATGGCAGAGCCAAGTTGGAGGGAAGGGAGGCAGAAAGAACCCATTAGGATGTTGCAGCCCTGTCTGGCGAGGATGGTGAGGAGGTTGGGGGGAATGGCCAGGATGTTCAGAAAGTCAATCAGTAAGGCTTAGTGGGACAAGTGGTTTGTAAATCTAAAAAGCATATAGTCTGCCAGAAGCTCACTCTGATTAGGATGGTGGAGAACAGAAAGTCAATGGGAACTATTTAATAGGATCCTTGGGAGAAGCTGAGAGGGATTATTAAATGATAAGGCAAGGCTAAGGGATTATTGAAACAGGAAACATAACGATGTTTCCCTCTGAAGTCTTATGAAGAAATTAAAGATAACTTGTAGCACATAGGATTCAAGTTAGATATGAGGAGGAACTTGCTAACCACATGACAGTTATGACATAGGCATGGAAGGAGCACAGAAAAGTGTATTCTAAAACTGAACTATCTATCTCCTTTTATAATTACTGTCATGTCTTAGATGGAGAATTTAGCACTGTATAATAAAACATTTTTAAAGTGTTAAGATGATAACAGTGAGTTCTGAGTAAGTGGTACTCAGGAAGCTGGGTTATTAATGCCCATTTTGATTCAAATATTAAGCCAAAACGCTTACAAGTAAACTCAAAACGGTGCGCTAAATGATGGGCCAAAAATTCCAGGAACTGCTGAGTCAGTAGAGTGTTTTTCAAGACATCTGGCCCAAGAAAATCCACTTAGAGCACAAGGGGAACTGCCTGACAATTTCTGAGCCCTTGGTGATTACACTCGAAAGCCTGGGGGGAGGGCCCAAAGCAAGAAAAACATGGGGGGATGGGCGTGACTGTTGTCCTCCTGGACTGCAAGCTACATCTCAAAAGGACCCGGGATGCTACTTGGGCCCCAGAAAAGGCAAACTGTTTGAGAGATGTAGAGTGCTGCAGGCCAAGATTGGAGGGGTACCAAAACTGGCCAGCCACCTGAGAGCCAATGGGAAGCATGTATCAGCCACAGAGGTGAGTTAGGGGCAGAGGATTCAGGGCCAATACCCCTAAGGGGGAGTGGGGTGAGTGTGGAACTTCCGTCCATGACTAATTGGACAGCTGCATGGGATGACTGGGGCTGTGCTTCCTTCTTCTATAATGTGATGAAAAGTGAGCTGGGCTGCAAGGCCACTTCTTCCTGGTGACCTTGAGCAAGTCACTTCAGCTCTGACCTTCACGTTGCCTCTCCTGTAGAATGGGTATCATACTTACTTCTCAGGACACTACTGAAATTAAATATTAATGTAGGAAAGACCTAGCCCGGTGCCTGGCCAATCATCTGATGTCCTATTTCAACAGTTGTTCTCTCCTCTGACCTCCTTTCTAACGTGGGACAAAGAAGCCTTCCTCTGTCCCTTGCTCCATCGATGTAAGCAACATAAAGATTCCCACCGTCACGTTTCTGAGGCCTCTGGTTACAGAAACATTCTATTGTTCTTTTTCCTCCAGTGGTTCTGTCCCCTTCCTCACCATCCATCCTCACCCCTTCTACTGCCCCCCACCACCTTGTTCTGGGTCCCTCTGGCCTATAATCTAGAGCTGTCCCCTCACACATCAAGTCCAATGTGTTTTCTCCCCACCCCGCAGACTCACACCATCTTCTCACTGCTGGGAGTGGACCATGCTTACGTCACCAGTATTGGCAGACTCATTGGAATTGTCACCCTAAAGGAGGTGAGATGATAGTGACCACTTCCACTTCCACTTCCAAAAAGGCTCAGAGGCTTATGTCCAGCCACCTAGGGAAGTGCTGGGGAGGAGTCTGAGCTGGGAGCTCCGAGTCCACACATCTGATCCTCTCACCTTTCCAGCTCCGGAAGGCTATCGAGGGCTCTGTCACAGCACAGGGTGTGAAAGTCCGGCCGCCCCTTGCCAGCTTCCGAGACAGTGCCACCAGCAGCAGTGACACAGAGACCACTGAGGTGCATGCACTCTGGGGGCCCCGCTCCCGCCACGGCCTCCCCCGGGAGGGCAGTCCTTCTGACAGCGACGACAAGTGCCAGTGATCCCCTCAAGGGGTGGCCTGGGATGGCAGTGGCCATGGCTGTCGGCCCAGATCCTGCAGCTCTCCTGTTCCTTCTGCCTTGGGAAAACAGGAGCTCCAGCCCCGCTTCCAGACCTGGGGTGCTAGCGTCTCCTGGCTCATCCTACCTGAAATCTGACCCAGTGCCCACCTGCAGCAAATGTTCCAAGGGCAGGAAGGTCGGCACTGCCCTGACAGGGTGGGGGTGGGTTCACTTGACCCCTGCTCCCCCTTTGAGGGAAGGGGTAGAAGTAATATGGGTTTATACTGGAACCTCCCGTGACCAGATGTATATAGAGATTTACAAAGATTTTTATATTAATTTAATAAAACAAATTCTTAAATAGAACAAAATAAACACCTAATGAGCCACTTCTATGTAGAATGCTTGTGCCCACCGGCTCTTGTTCTTACCTTGGGCCCCCTCACCTGCCAAAGCCTACAAGGCTCCAGATTCAGCAGCCACCCACCCACCAACAGCCATAAAACTCCAGAGCCTGCTGTCCGTGGAATGCAGGGTCTGCAGAGGCCACCACCACCGCTTGCTCATCAACACCCTGGTTGGGGTGCAGTCCCCCAGTAAGGTAGCTTTGGCCTTTTGTTCAGCCAAGAAAGGCACTACCCTCTTTCCTCCCCAAGGAGAGACGCTCCCTCATGACTGTCACTCGTTGGCACCATTCCT